TGCTAATTTCAAATAACCAGTTGCCAGACTTCCTTGGCTGAGATGCTCGAGTCATTGTAAACCGTGGCGATGCGAGCGCCGAGTTATGAGCAGGACTGCAACCTGATTGTCCTGGTTAAATCTTTGCACAAAAACCCTCCCTTTCAGGCCTGCAAATTACCGAAAGCGAGCAGAAATCTCCGAACAGCAGCATGCTTGGAGGATCCCATCTTGGAGGGAAAATCTGCCACTATGCCATGGGAAAGGGCGTCCTGGCAGATAAAGAAGCAGCCTTGCGCCTGGGCCACAGCAGGCAAGAAATTGAGCACAAAGCTTTGGACCGAAAGCATGTGCGAGTTTGGCAGTTTGGGATTAGACACCACGATTCCGCTTACGCGGCTGCGAAGCTCCGTGGCGGCCTTGTTGCCTTGATACCCGTGTTTCGAGCAGACCCTTCGTGAGCATGAACACTTCCCACGTACAACCGGACTTTAAGAATACAAAGGCTCGCAAATGTAGCTGGTACAAGTTTTGAGGTGCATAGCGAAACTCCAGATCTGAAGCCTTGATAAGTTTCAGTTACAGCTTTTCTTCCCCAATGCTGTTTTTGGATTTCGGGCCCCCTTTGGCAATCCCGCCCTGCACAATGCAAGAGCTCCTTGGAAGTCAAGGTGCGATTTTCCTTTGCTGCCATGACGGCCCACTTCCATGGAGTTTGTGCCGGAGTTGGTCTGCAGGCAGATGTCAGGGCCACTCACACCCTCGTAAAACTAAAGCACTCAGACCGCTGTCAAGCAGCATGCAGCTGCAAGAGCCTTATCAAGCCCTGGGCAGGGGTGGCAGTCTCAATGGGTGCTTGAGTTCTGATAAGACTGAAAGTGCAAAATGAATGGCTCAGGCTCGGGTTGCACGAATGAAACGCCCTGCCACGCCATGTTGGACAGATCTGACTCTAGCCGTCTAGTACACAGAGGCCTTTGTAGCAGAGGCCTTGTTGCTCAGCCATTGTGGCATACCAGCACGAATCAGAATTGCATGAGGCGTTCTTCTCGTTCCACCGCTTTCTCAAACGCGCTCACGACATCTCAGGCCATGTGGTCGAACAGGAAAGTTTCTTCCACAGGTCAATGCTATTGCTGTGTAATCCACCTGGAAATCCCTCAGGTAATATATGTTCAATTGGAGGCACCAAGTTGGGACTTCCGCTCTTGCCTTATGTTGCAGGATGTCGCAGGCCAACTTCTCTGTTTAGGAGAGCTCCGCCATCTCTTAGTTGAGGGTGTTGCGCTTCAAGGCGCGTGTAGACCCAAGCGTGGCATGCACGTGGCTACACAAGGAAGAAGTTGCAATCATAGATAGAGCCGAAGATGAACAGCGCAACTCAACCCTTGCTGGAACAACATACCGGCACAGATGGTGATAGTGACTGATAGTGATAACCAAGGCAGACAAATGCCATAGATTAAAACGCAAGGCCGACGCAGAAACAACAAAGAAGCAGCAGAAGTGCTGCAGATGGATTTCAGAAGCAGTGAAGCAGTGCCTTGGACTTTGTTGACGCATCCCAATTGATGAAGTCAGCCTGGCAGTCAATCTGAGATGCCTGGAGCCTTCCGAGAGGTTTTACAGCAACATTCCAGAGAGAGCGCAGAGACAAGCAAAACTCCTGAGCCCCGCCCGTGGGGCCTTCCCAAAATTTACAGATCTGCAGTGCTTCTCAACCATCCCAAACGTCCGAAGCCGCTGAATGAACATGAAGGTGGAACCTTGGGGTTACGAAAAGGTTTGGCCGAGCATTGGGTTCAAAAGCCCATAATCATAACCCGGCCATGAGCAAAGGGTGTCGCGAGTCCGCAGATCTACACCCCGCAGCAGGCACGGACCTCTAAGCTTTCACAATCCTCGCTTTCGTCCTGCAGAGAGTCACTGCAAGATACACCCGAGATGTTCCGCCTGCACTCAAAACTTCCATGTTCAACATGTCATCTAGTTTGAAAATCTGTGGCTTTTCAAAGAGGTCATGGCAATGATATCGATGCTTTCAACGTCCATTTGCAGTGTATGGCACTTAGATGCACTCAAATAGAATGATGCCCGAACACAGTGTGCATGCTGCACGCTCGGTACTGGCTTGGAAAGGGCAGCACGATAGGACACCCTGCAGCAAGCTAGCATGGTATGACACCAGCACCACATGAAACCACAGCCGGGCAACGGGACTGAAACCGTACAGCTGTCAAATGTCAATTTTCTGCACACACGATAGTCTGACAGCAATGCAAAACAAAACAGCATGCAGGAAGACACGAAACAGGCATCCTAAACCTCGAGTTGCCAGAAAACTACAACCTGAACTTGCACAGTGTCCTTATGGCAGAGCTCGGATGACATAAAGAACTCATCAATCTGTAGCCCAGGATCCATGTCCTGCAACTAGCACCGTCAAGGTTAGGCAGCGAGGTCTTTTGTGGAGTTGGACGGTTGATCACTTCGTACATGTAAGAATTCGGACAATCAAGAACTTTTGTAGGAAGTCGGATGGCTTAAATACAAACCCTTCCTGAAGCCATGACCTGAGCGACAAACATCAGGCTTGGACTTTCGACAGACAGCCCGCGGCGCAAGAAGCCAAGTTTGGAGTCGAACAAACAATCCTGAATTTAACTTGATTCGCGCGCACAGTTGCCTGAAGAACATGAGAAAGCGCGGACACAGCACGTAACCCAAGATCCCGACAAAGTGCCTGCATCTATGGGGAGCGGTACTGCACGCATGGAATCTGTAGCAGTTGAGACCGGGTCTCAAATGAAGCAACCGGCCGGCACCAACCTCTAACGCGTCCACCTCCAACTCATCTGACCCTGGCACCTGGGAAGGTTTCGCTGTCCAAGCTGCGAGCTTAGGGTACTGTAGCGCTACCTGAGACGTGAAAAGCTTTGCAAATGGAAAACTGTTCGAGCCCACCAGCGAATGATACAACCCGCAGCACAGAAAGATCGTCACTTTCGGAAAAATAAAGGCAAAGCTTGTGAGGCTCCGTAATCCTCCGAGTTGCTTTGAGTACCCCACTTTGTTCAGTGTTTGTAATACCTGAATCCCAAACCTTGAATGACAGGTCCAGACCGGCCCTGCATCCAGACAGAGCTCAAATATGCTCGAATCCGGACTGGATTGCAATACGTGAGTTTGACAAATGCTTCAAAGTCTAAGCATCACTGAATCCTGATCACAGCCCGTGCACGGCCTGAAGATTTGGATCCATATCTCCTGGCTTCAGCCAGGAGAGGGCTGGAGGAGGGCTTTAGGGTCTTCAGCGTTTGGCCTTCAGCCTTTCAAGCATGCTGGAAGACATCGAAACCAGAGTCTGGTTTGCAATTCACCTTTCTGAGTTAAGACTGCGGCCACTGGATCTTGGGTCAAGGGCTGGAGAACGGCAAGGGGGCTCAACACGTTTTGTCTCAAATGTGTTTTTGTGGCTCTTTTCACGATTTCTGGAACCGAGAGTAGGCCAGATCCGTAGCCCCACGTCTGCCACTCGCCTGAAGCCTGAGCCCACGGCCTCAGATCTCATGACTCGGCAGACCCCGAGGCATCTTACCCTGCATGCGTATGCATGCGCTGCCTTGATCTGCAACATTCTGCAACCCTGAAGTTCTGACATTCCACTCTGGCTATCTCAGACCGCGCGCACCTTCCACATCCCAAAGATCCGTTCAGCCAGCCTCCTGCTGCCATATCTTCTGGCACCTCCAGCGGCGGAGGGCTGACCTCCTGCGGAGAAGACAAGACCCTCTTTGAAGGCTGCCATGAAAGATTTCAGGCTTTGCGTTTTCAACAGACCTACAAAACAGCCATGCAATTGCAACGCGAGCGTGCCAGGATGTAAGGACCGTCCTATTCAGCTTTACTATAACAAGCTCTGCGATGGCCTGCTTGCAGCCTAAGCCTAAACCGTATAGCAGGCTACACCCTACGCCAGATGTCACCAAAAAGGTCCTCAGCTTTGCCTCAGCAGTCAGCAAGTTGGCAAGACATGTAGCAAGTTGGCAGAATCCACTTAAGTGCTTGAGTGATACGCCAGAAAATCAAATCATGGGAGACCCTGCAAGTGACGAACAAACGAATACTTGGCCAAAGGAAATTGCAAATTGGAGGGCCGCTATGACAGTGGAGAATGATGCGTCTGATACTGCTCGAATCTGCTCGAATACCAAGGGCTCTCACACACACAAAAACCCTTTCCAGCGAGGGTCCGTGCAGCATCGGACATGACAATGGCAGAAATTAAGAACACATCAGCTTTCCTTGTAAGCTGCTAACATGCAAGACCCTCAGGCGCAAGACGTTCCATGTGACATGACCTGGGCCCGTGATTACGATCATGTCGTGGCCTTCAAAAATGCGCTGCCTGCAGCCGAGTTTTCCACAAAACAGCCCATCATCCAGGCTCTGGTATGCTACATGCAACACACAAAGAGGCCGTGGTCCCGAATGGGTGAATGAGTGATAGACTTTTATGCCAAGTTGTATGCATTACTTGGATCGGCCCCCTTGTCGTAGCTACCCATCAACGGGCAGGTGACACTGGGTCTTGAACTGCGCGATACGGCAGGAAGGGATTGCCAACTTGTGCCCGAAGCATGCTTGCAGTCTCATCCGCATCAAGCTGGAGTTGCACGGATCCATGCCTTGTAGCTGCAACCAAGGACTCAAGCATGGGTTAGCGGGCAGGATTCCGTTTCAGGCACCTTCGTGTTTAGAGCTGCCCTGCGGGCAATGTGTCAAGCAAGTGGCGCTGCTTAGCAGCAGGCGGCGCCCCATACTCCGCCAGGCTCACTTGCAAAAGATAACTAAAGTGAGACTGTGAAACTACTCTGAATGTTCAGCCTGATCTGCTAATCTTGGCACGTTGTCACCAAAGCCTAGACCGACCAATGCCTAGCGAAATGTAAAGAGCAAAGACTAGATGAAGCGAACTTCTTCCATCATACAACAGGTCAAAGCTCAACATTCACCTTTGCTTACTGCTCTGGCTCAGCTTTCTTCTCCTCTGTTGTCTCTGGCTGCACATCACCTTGCTTTGCATCCTCCGCCGGCACAGCTTCTGCGGGCGAAGCTTCCGCGGGCGCTGCTTCCGCAGGTGCTGCCTCTGCGGCTGCCTCGTGAGGGGCCGAAGGGGCCTCAGCGGCAGTCTCGGCTGGAGCCTCTGCTGGCTCGGCTGCGGCTGAAGCGTCAGCTGGAGCCTCGGCACCCGCACTTGCTTGAGCTTGGTTTTCCTTGGGCTCGGCTTTGCCGTCAGCGGTCTCCTTCCCCTCGGCACTCTTCACAAAGTCTGTCTTGTCACGGGACATTGCGGCAACATCCTTTCCGTCCTTCCAGTTGACCCAGTCACCTCCATCAGTCATGAGCTCCAACTCTTCGAGGATCTGAGTGTTGGGATAACCGGCGGCTCGGACCTGATGCCAAAACCCGACCCACTCACTTTTGGTGATGCTACCGTTGCCGTCGTCATCAACCTCATCAAACATAGCCTTGGCATTGACTTTCGCAAAGCTGCTGAAGAACTTGTGGGCTTCTTCTTTGGTGATCGTGCCGCTGCCATCCTTGTCCATCTTGTCGAAAAGCTCTTCCACCTTCGTCTTCGCCTCCGCAGAGAGCGGTCGCATGCCTGCACTCCCACCGCACCCCATGCTTGCTGGCGTGGGCCTGCAATACACAGCTTCGGCTGCGTGCAGGTGCTAGAATGAGATGCTGGAAACGGCTTCGAGGCGCAACCCGAATTGCAAAAAGCTTTGAACCCCGGAGATGTCAAAGCAACCACGGCGCGTGGCAAGTCTTCATTGATCAGCATTCCATTAAGTACATGTTCGTCAACACTCTGCACATGGAGGCGTTGGCTCATTTCTTTCACTCCCGCCTGGCAGAGCTAGCAAAGGGATGAACCGCAAACCGCGAAGTAAACCCAAATAAAGGCTTCCCATGCAGCACAGGGCACTGAAGCTTGAAAGGCCAGGTGCCTCTCCTTGAGCCTCTCGACCTGTGGCGACACGATTTTTTGGAAAGTTTATGTGGAAATTGGCGGAACAGCATTTCAGGAAAACACATGACTAGCTAATCTAGCCAAACGGGCGTGATGTTATCTGCAGAACTCACTGCAAAGCCAAGGTAAACCGCAACTGCCTCCCGGCTTCTATTGCAAAACCTGGACCAATCAAATACTTGTTTACCTGCTCCGCAGCAGCTTCCACCAGCTTTATTGCGAACTCTTGTGAAATGGTAGGCCGTGCTTGAAGACTGGAAGCCCGAAGGGCAAGCTTTTGTGGCACTATTAGCTGTGGAGAACTGCCGGCTGAAAATGTCCGGCCTTTGCGCCTTCTCTCCTTTGAGGAGCCTCGCTTCCCGCGATCCTCCTTGTGCTGACTTGAATTGCTCTGTGAGTAAGTCACAGAACAAGATTCAAATACACTTCGCGACAGCACGGCTACAAAGCAGCTGAGCCGCATTTTGCTGCACACGAGAATTGTCATGGCAGGCGATTCGAACGCATGTTGGCTTAGCTTGGCCTGCCTTGTTTGAAATATCGCTTGCTGAGCTGTGGCACCGGACGAGCCGTCCTCATGGATAGGATCCATGCCTCCCATACTTAGCGGCCCCACAACAACCTTGGCGCCAATCAATACTTCTCATGGCAGTCCGGGAATCTTTCACTGCATTGGGATAACAACAAGGTCAGGTAATAATATGAGAGCATGCTCCTTTACCTGAATGTGCTTTCAGACGTCTCAAAATACCATCTCTCAATGGGAACGGTGAAGACGCAAGGGATTGTTGCAGGATGCTTCTGAAAGCTCTTGGGCCGAGGCCCTCTCAAGACATTATGTCGCTACATGTCACATGGGCTCCGAATAGCACGCGCACTCCCTAGCGAGACACATGACAGCACCTCCCGCTGGCCCCAAGCGAACTTCACAAAAGCGACCGGGGTGGTTGCGGGCCGCGGTGAGCGCTCCTGGGAGCTCTGGTATTACCACAGCTTCTCCAAGCATGCGGATCCGACAATTGTGGAAGGTTGTTGTACATGCCACTGTTGCTTAATATGTTGTGGACATACAAGGGCTCAATGGTCTCAGACTGCCTAGAAGACAGCAGGCTCTTGCACAGATGCAGCCGAACATCCTGCCAATGAGTTGTTCAGTGGCTCATTCCTATCCAGACGGTCAGGGGTTAGAGATTTCAGCGACCAGCTGAAATCCCTATGACCCTGCACAAATCAGCAGCACTCCTGCTGCGTTCGTGCTTCTGCGCGCGACTGCCTTTTGCAGGCAGTGCTATGGGCATTTCTGTACGTAATATACTGACTGCGGGTATGCGAGTACTACGACTTACTGATAAATCATAAACCTCAAAGTCCTCTCAGCAATAATTACCCACACAAGGTAGGGGGTGGCCTTTAAACAGCTTAGTTTGATGCTCTGACTGCCGCGCGAGCTCTACAGGGTAATCGGGAATATGGGCTGGCTGAGCCTTGTGCATTGCGTGCGGCTCTCTGATTTGAGGTCAGGATAGTCCATAGCTGAAAATGGGTACCATCTGTGCCAGACCTTACTAAAATCAAGATTCTTGCGAATCTGCTTGGCACTCACAACGGCCGGATTCCTACTGCCACTTTTTCCAAACCCTCAGAAAAATCTGGCCAAGCAGCTGTGCTTCCTGGGCTTCTGTCGGCTGCAGCGGAATGCGAGGAACTTTCACCAAATCGCCGTTCCGCCTTGAAAGCTACCCTCCTGGTTGTTTGGCTCTTGAAACAAGTGAAGGCTTCGTGAAGGGTTGCGGGGCTGCTTGTGTTGTGCAGCTGTGAGGATATGACCAGCAGCGCTGACAAGAAGAACGTCGCAGCCATTGAAGTTTACATCTTTAAGTCTTCTGACGGCCGGGACACCCAAGCGAGCTAAATCAACCAAGGGCTGGCATCTGGGGCCAATGCCCTGCTGAAAATTGTATCTGCAGTCAGTGAGACCTGCGTGATCTGACCTGACTTGCCTGACGTTTTTCAGAATGCTGAATGCTGTCACAAACCCCTCTGCAAGATGAATGGCACAGGATACTTCACAAAGCTGCGAAAAGAGCTGAAGAGTTCCAGCAACATCTCCTGCCCTTTGTGCGATGAACCGTGGCACCGTGGTCTCACCGCCCACCCTGCTGGTCCTCTTCGTACTCTGGAGCCCAGCTTCCACTTGAAGCTTCTCTTTGCGGCGCAGGTTACAAGTCTCTTGGTTCTGAGCATGGCCTTCGCCCTGACACACAGTGGGAAATGCTCAGCAAAACCAGTACTTATCGGCCTGAAGTGAACATGGCTACCGTTCTGGGTGCCCTGCTGCAGCTTCGACTGAAAGGTTGAGTTGGCAGCTGCTGTGCGCGCACACTCCAAGGCCTGCGTCCAGCAGCCCCACATCCAACAAACCCAAAGAGGTTCGCAGGAAAAAATTATCGTACAGTGGTAGATCCAACTACTAAACCAAAAAAGGCATGTACTCCAAATTAGGGTGTCGTGGCTTGCCTTGCAAAAACCTCAAGGACACTAGCCAAACCGTCAGCAGGCTAATGCAGGTGCTGGCACATGAAGATGCCTAACCTCCCTAACATATAAGCACGCTGTACCAAATGGGCACACCTCTCGCCTCACGCATGCCCCGGCATGCCCCGTCTCTAAGTGTAAGAGATCTTATACCGCGAAGGTGGGATCCGAGAGCCCAAGCTTTCAAAGCAACCTCAAAGGAATCGCGCACCCCAAAATCACAGACTTAAGCTTGTGCTGTCCAAGCTGGAGCGCCCTCTTGAACTGGAGCCGCTGTTCTGGGACACATATGGCCGCATGATGAGCTTCCTTCGAGCGCAAGCAGGTGTTGTTTGGGGCCAATGTTTACAGTGTAGTTTCACACAGCTTGGGTTTGAGGCACTTCCGTTTGCGGGCTGCATACATGTCTCACGAATGGGAAAGCAAACACACTTGATCTGGTTAAATG